TTAAACAAGGAACATTTTTAATTCACAGTATAGCTGAAAAATTATCATATTTCCTTTTTTATCCCAAGAAACTTAATTCTCAGGCAGAAACCCATCAACGAAGAAACACAAATGCTGTATTTTTAGATTACAAATAAGGGTAAAGATGTGAAATACTAATATACTTCCCCAGAGATGAGTCATTTTATCAAATCATTAAGCTTTCTAGCTTTGCTACTGAATGTGTACTACTATTTAGGCAGTTTCTAGTCCCTGTATACAGACTTTCCATCTAAAGCTTATGTTCTCAAATGTCTCTTTTCCTACCTCCCCTCAAACTGGCATGTACTTAGTAAGTGCAAAATAATTTTCCCATACTATATATTCTAGATTCAAATGTTTTGAATTATCTATAACCATCACTGAAAAAAACTGAAGGCCAACTACCAAGCAGATAAAGTCAATTTTTAAAATAATATCCCTAATAACTAAAAATGGAAGTATCTGTAATCTCTATCCTAAATAAGGTACAATGCTTTTAAACAGCCTCTTTTACTACCAAAGAAAGAAAAAGGAAAAAATTGTTTACCGTTGATAAAGCATTCTGAAAGAATTATCCTTACTGAAAGTCTGGCTATCTGAATGCATTGCAATCCTTTCTGGTATCCACCCAGTCAAGGCATGAAGATCAATATTCTGCAACACAAGCACATTTCAGGACTCTCAGGATTATTTTCAAACTCTCAGATAAATTCTCAGAGTGGCTACTACATCACTGATTTAACAATGATTTTGATAGGAATAAATCAGAAGACAATTAAAAGCTGTTCACTCATTCTGAATACTAGAGAATTGCTTTGTAGGTAAATGTGACGAAAACTCAAGATATTTAACAGAAAAAACTGCTTTGATGGTACCAGTCCTTACAGAACAATAATCGCTTCATATATTCCCAATCTGTCAGCTGCCATGGGTAAATAAACAGGCTAAACTAACAATGTACAGACTACAAAGAAACATAACACCCCACTGCATTTATCTATGATCTCTGTAATCCTGCCCAGCATGGAAAGATCCTGAAGAGTAGAGGAGGCCTGATAATAGGCAGGGAAACTCGTCAGGTATGAATGATGCGTCATACATATATTACTTCATTTATTCTCTTACAAACCCTGGGAGGTGGATATCATCCATATGTTATAGACCTATATTTGGTTTTGGGTTTTTTTTTTTGTTTTTTTTTTTGAAGAACTGGGGATTGAACTCAGGCCCTTGCACTTGCCAGGGAAGCACTTATTCCACTAAGCCATCTCCGCGGCCCCTATAGACCTATATTATACACTAATGTAAAATACCTTTTATAAGGCCACAGGCTGGCCCATCCCAAGTGTAAAGTCATGTTAAGTCAAGTAGTTCACACAACTAAAGGACACTGTCACACAGAGCTCAACTTTACAGAGTATATTAATATGTCTGCAGGAAACTCCTTGAACCTAAATTCATATATCAAAATATACATTTTGATCTGAACTGGCTGCCCAGGAACAGTACACTGGCTCTGTATCTCAATAGAACAGCATATACATACATTTCAGAGGTTTCCTGGACACAGAATTTACATAATTTACTATCCTCACACAAGAAAGTAAGTACTCCCATAATAAGAGGACTAGTCAGTATTTCTCCAGGACTGATAATCTCCTTTCTTTACCCATAAACACAACCAGCAGTAGTATCTATTACAAGTGTTCAATTTTAATATACCTTGTATTAACGTAAGTCAGTGTCTGGGCTATACCCATTACTTACTGAATTGGATCCTGGGAAATCATAGCCTCCCATAACCTTCATGTATGCTTTTTCTATGAGAGATACCCATAATTCACTTTTATTGTTGGAATAAGAACACAGCAGTTCTCCCTTATGATCAACAGGTAATTGGTCATCGATTATCACCTGAATAAAGAGAACATTAATTTCCTTAGGTGAATACCTTAACATCTTGTGAAGGAAAAAAATAAGCTTTACACTGAGGAAAAGTATAGTAGATGGTTCCATGCTTCTAGGATCCAATCAATTATAAAATGTTCATCATTTTAATATGATGCCTTTGATTACAGATTCTAGAATATTTAAAATAATCACCGAAGAGCTTCACTATTCAGATCAATATGTCATTTTAATCTAAGCCTAATGACTCATGCCATATAGTTGTAAAAGCAGCATATTATGGCTAAAAAACCCATAAACAACAGAGGAGCTGGGTACTGTGGTGCACGACAATAATCCCAGCACTCAGGAGGCTGAGGCAGGAGTACTCCCATGAGGCCAACTTCAACTACACAGTGAATTCAAGGCCAGGCTGAACTTCACAGAAAGAACCTCTCTCAAAACAACAAAAAAAATAAAAACAACAACCATGGAAACAAAAAAAGGACACAATCACCACAAAGATGTAATATATATCTTATATTTAAAAATTATTTGAAGGACATAGGAATAAGTTTTGATCAAAGACTAACAAAGATTCTACAACTCTATTTTGAAAAATCCTTTAAACAAGAGGTTAAGAACTATGGTTCAGGAAAAACATGCTCAAAATTTTTTGTTTAGCTTTTAAGTAATCAGCTAGTGTGACCCTCAAAGGATGTTCCCCAACAAAGGCACCAGCATTACCATGGAACTTGCTAGAAATGCAAACTTGTCTCTCTCAGACTAACAGAATCAGACCCTCTGGGCTGGGGCCCAGCAGTCTGCGCTTCGGTGAGCTGTCCTGATGAGCCCGAGTACCCTAAACTGGAGCACTCCTGCATGACAGAGCAATGATTTTCAAACTGGAGTCACCAAGAAAGCTTGTTCAAGCAAAGGTTTTGATTCATTAGTTCTAGAGTGCAGCCTGAATTCTGCAATTCTCATGTGAACCAAGGGTGATGCGGGGCCTGCGTGGCAGCGGATGGGTGCTAAGGGACCCTTACAAGGCAACACCCTGAGAGGTCAGAGTGCTTCAAGAAATTAAAGTTGTATAACTTAAGACCAGGCATATATTTCACAAAGGAAATAATTTTAAAGGCTTCTTACATCTCAGGATATAACTACATATAAACTGTTTTGACCTAAGAGACTTAATGTGTCTGATTTCCTTTTAATCAAAAATATTAAGATCAAATTAAACTTTATTTTAAGCATTAATGGTCCTTAGTTCGATATCACTTACTGGAACTTGTCATGGATTCTATTTTCAGATATTAAAATGATACTGGTAGCAGAGTGTGTAAGATCAAAGACCCAAAATCAATGAAACTACAGTACAGATAGTATTTAATGCCACTCACAACTGAAAAACAGAGGGGAAGAAAGGGGTAGTGGTAAAGGGGAGATAGTATTTACCTTTCTGGGGACTCCATTGAGGTGAAGTTTTACCATATACTTTCCACATGGATTGTACTCTGGTTCACCATCCTTATTCTGAGGATAAATTATGCTTTTGTAAGGAAAATAAATATTGAAATACTCACATTAATAACTACTACAATACAGGAGACATTTAAACATGTCATTTAGACATATGCTATTGTCTGCTTTTTATTTTGTATTGTTAGGGAATGGTCTACAGGGTGTTCAGGTTCTCGCTACTAGATTGGACTGGTAGTGATTCTCCTGTTGACAGCCAAGTGCTGGGATTACAGGCGCATGCTACCACGTCCAGTCTCAATCATGTGCCCCAGGGGCAGGGGCGGGGCTGGCATGGCAGGCTCGGGGATCAAAACCTCAGCCCCTGCACCTGCTTGCAGGTGCTTTAACCTGCTGAGCTATCTGGCCAGTCCTTGTCTTTGTAATTTTTTTTTCCTAATTTTATTGAGAAACAAATAGCAATGAGACAGTTTCAAATCAAATTGGTAGGACAGTTTCAATAATTAACACACTACATACATTCTTCCTAGTGGTTAACTGCTGTACAAGATGCGGACTTGATATCCTATTTCAAACACCATTAGAACAAATCACTCTATTCATTAAGAGAATGTAACTATGTATCTATCCTAACCACTTTGAATACACAGATACAAAATGGACATTCATCTGTATCCCCTTTTTTTTATTAAGTTCCATCATTTATATATTACAGGTGTGTAAACTCAGCAAAATA